AAATCTTTCACACTGTTTATATCACTCAAAACGTTACCCATGAATTTAAGAAACGGTGGAATCTGAAAATTGAATACAAGCATGTTGCATTTTTTAGCATTGAAAAGCAGATGATTTTGAGTGTTCCATAACTCTAAGTTTATCAAATTTTGTTGTAATTGATCGAGACTATTCGTCGTTCCTCTGAAAAATAACTTCAAGTGATCAGCAAACATGAGGGCGGTAGATGATAGAAGGTAGGTCATTGATGTACAAGAGGAAAAATAAGGGGCCCAAGACTGAGCCCTGAGGTACGCCTGTTTGGACTATTCTATGAGCTGATAAATGATCTTCGATTCTCACGGATTGGGTTCTCCCTGTCAAGTAGCTTTTGATGATATAGTAGAAATTTCTATCTAAGCCAAGCAAAGATAATTACTTTAGCATTATTCCATGGTTGATCTTGTCGAATGCCTGGGAGAAATCGAAAAGAAGTAGGAGAGATTCTTCAGCAGCGGCATCATATATCATAGTTATACTCTTCAATAACTGTAAAATAGTGGATCTTCTCTTCATAAAACCATATTGTGTAGAGCTGCAGTGGTGATTAATATCCTCCATGAGCCTCTTGTAGATTATACGTTCAAAAATTTTGTTAGGTGTGTTTAGCAAAGTTACTGGTCGATAGTTTCCAACATCTGATTTCTTTCCTCCTCTGTATATTGGTATGATAATTCCATGTTTACATCTGCCAGGCACTTGGGTCAGTTTTTTTATATATTTTTTAAAATATTGAATAGAGATGTCTTCAACTTGTTTGCTGTTTATTTCATTACTGAGGCTGGCAGCTCATCTTCACCTCGACTCTTAGATGGGTCCAGTACACTGAGTTCGTTTGATATTTCATCTGCTGATATGATCAGGCTAAGATCGCCATGTGTATGCGGGTCTTCATTTACACTGTAGTCATGGTTCGTTTCAGTAATCGAAGCAAAGTATTCACAGAGAAGTTCGTCTCAACCTTCTTTTGAAGTTTCTAGTCTTTCTTTCCAGGTCAAAATGGGAGATAACTTGCTTCGTCGTAGGCTTTTGAAATACTTGAATATACGACTTGTGTCCCTGCCCTGAAATATTCGGCTTTCATAATCAGCTTGGTCTTGCTCTTGCATCGTTTCACGTTTTGCTTTCAAGGATTCCAACTTGTGCGGACTTGGGTTCTCCTTGCGTCTTAGTGTCTCGAGTTTCTTCATCAAATGGGATGTTGAGGGTTTTATCCATGAGGATAGGTCTGTCCTGTGAGCCGTGCGTATTGGTGTGCATTTGCTAATCAAACTGAACAGCCAGTAATAACATTCATCAGTCCCTACATTAATGTTGCTATAGCACTTGGGGTTGAACTGGTTCTTGTCTATGAGAGAGTTAAGTTGTTCATAGTCACAGTGACACTAGCTCAATTTCATCTTGGTGTCACAATTGTTCTCTATTTTATCTACAAGCTCTATGGATATCGGATTGTGATCACTAGATATGTAATCTGGAGGTAAAGAAATGTCTTGGCACACTGTGTTGATAATGTTGTCATTCGTTACTAGACATAGTTCGAGCATATTTGTTCTCGTTGTTTTAAAATCCACCATTTGAACCAAATTGTAAGTATCTAAAGTCTCGAGGAAATTTTGCTCATACTCGTCGTTGCTGGAATGTGTGGTCCAGTTTATTGTCGGTAAATTGAAATCACCGACCAGCATGACGTTTGGACCCTGCTGTATTAGCAGTTGTAGAAGACTCTGTATCTCACTGTTAGTCAGACGGTAGGCACTATTACTTGGTGGGTTGTAGAGACAACACATAAATACAGATACATTACTAGTGGTAACCTCAACTAAGGAACATGATGCTTGAAGGGATGAGGATAAGCAACTGTTGTCAATCTCTTGCTGGATATAATTGTCCTTGCTTATTTCCGACTTCTTGTTTCTGATCCTTTTTGAATTTTCCAAGCCTCTGTATGTCGTTTATTCCTGGTCTTTCTTCCATGTACTCGAATATTTTCAGAATTTCACTGCTGTCGTGGTTCAGGATTGTTTCTCGGCTATTTTTCTCCTCTGTGTCTGCAATTGCTTCTGGAACTCCATCAATACGAAGTTGAAACTGGGTTCTCCCATCGTCCTTCATAGCAGGTTGAGGCGCTACATTTGCTTGTTTTCTGCTTTCAGGAATGGTCTCTACAATTTTTTCTTGTTGAATTTTCATTTCACTTTGTTCTTCCTTGAGTTCATTCACTATCTTGCTGATACCAGTAATCTGTTGACTCAGTTTCTCAAAGGGGCTTTTTTCGATACAGATTTCACAGTGCCAAAATACACCACGTTTCCCAAGATAGTTGAGAACAGCAGTAGGTAGGTTGGCACATAAGGTGAAACCAGATATTGCAAGCTGAACATTTACTGTTTTTCCTCTACACTCCTGTTCGCATTTCCCGCATGGCCATTTCAACGTTTGACTCGGTAATCTGCTTCGTGTTGTACTTGTAGTTTCATCGTTATCGTTGGGAGTCCCAACGATGACGATAAGAGTGATAAGAGTTTATCACAACAATTATCACGTATGCTGCTCAACATCCTATGTTTAGTTCAAACACTTTCAAGAAACATGCACATCAAGCTTTTCTTGATCCGATGCATTCATTGCTTAAGCTAGTGGCGTTATTCAGCCTGAATCTCTCATACCGCGAAGCCGGTGGAGCAACGTAAGTGTTCCAGTACATCTTTTTCAATTCGAAATCTTTATGCATTAGCTCTATTCTTTTTGTCCTTGTTTTAGATATCTGCCGAGATTAAGAGTTTTCAAAAAATCCAGCGAGCTGATAAATTAAATATGACAACCAACGCATGATTCAATTAAGATACACTTTATCATTTTTAGATAAACAACGCGCTTCTCAAAATGAATAACCTCTCGAATCTTCAGAAAGCACCTCCCAATGTTTGAGGTAGCGCAGAAGCTTGCAAGTAAACTGATTTTAGAAAAGAAATCTAAAACTTAGGAATATTTCAGTATAGTATTTTTTTTTATAATTTGTTTCCTAATTTTCTTTTTTCTTTTTTAAGTAGAAACAAAGCGTTTAAGCTTTGTTGCATTTTAAGTTGGGAGGCTGGTCCCTCGTCAGTTTAATCTAACTTTCATCTTATTTTTTTTCGATTCATGTTGAAACTGAATCAAGGGCGAAAGGTCAATAATATGATAACACATTTGGCCTCCTATACGTTTTCCGTGAGTTATACAAAATAGGATGGAAAAAATCGCCCTGAATCCGACGGTCATTCCCACTTTAAGAGAATAATCGAAGAATCAACGCCTGCTGAGAACATTGTTGGCATTGAACCGCCCGACTGAACTGAGGTGTTGTCAAATTGCAAAGTAGAACTGCAAAGTAAAAACTGACCTGATTCTAAGGATCCTTCTCACTCAACGAGGATGGTCGGGACAAGGCCATCACTAAACCTTGTTTGCGTCAAACCGCCCTACCGAATTGTGGCTTTGTCAATTACCAGAAGACCAGCCTTATAGCTAACCAAAATATCAAAGCTCAGCTATGTCTGGAAAGCGACTGCTAGAATGTTTGCCTTAAATGGCTGTGATAAAACAAAGAAAGAAAACGAATACATTGTTTATGAGTAACCTATTAATTAGTTTCAAAGACGGAAATATGATTGACGGTGGTTTCCAAATGCCTCACCTCAAAACTTTCAATACCGAGATATCTCGACCAATCACTCTATTTTTTTAGGAGATGATAAATGATCTTCGGTTCTCACGGATTGGGCTCTCCCTGTCAAGTAGCTTTTGATGATATAGTAGAAATTTCTATCTAAGCCAAGCAAAGATAATACTGTTAATATAACCACGCCCCGGAACCAAATCCCCCCGCTGAGTCGCCTAACTCCTAACATCTTGAACTTGACTGACCAACACTCCCTACCCAGACTGCCACTCCATTCATCCCTAACTTTAAACCATCACACCAACTACCACCAACTCACCTGAAAATTCTCTAAATCCAGCCAAAGGCTTTGTAAGCACTGCAATAAAATTGTAATGGAATACCCGGGAAAACGCCCGAAATTTCTGCTTTTTTAGTGGTAAATTGATTCCATATCACCGTCATTCAAAAAACTAAGACGAAGAAAGAAAGTCGGAACACCTCTCTTGGCGACCTTAAAACTATTAACCGCAAAGTTATAATTAAAGAAAGTGGTGGATTACAATAACTAGTAACTCATTACAAGTGACGGGTTTGTAAAGGCTATGTGTATCCCAGTGACATCCAGTGCGTCTTAACGCCTAATTTGGAGTGCTTACATCCCCTCAGATCCAGTTGTCCCACCTGTTGTTACTCCGCACCCCTTACTGATCTACTTGAACCTGGCGACAGACTGGTTCTAGGGGACCCTAACGCACAATCAAACTCATGATACTCCAACATAGAAGAATGTGCTGAGTAAAGCGGTCAGACTCTGGGTAATGAAATTGCCGAATCTAGCTATGCGCTAATTGACGAAAATCAAACCAGAGTAGCTTTTCACGCCGAAACTCAAAACTTCTTGTGACATTTAACTGGCTTTACAATCATTCGTACTCTCCGCATCCTGATTTTCCAAATTGATTTTCCGAGCTGTTCCAATGCACTAAAAAGATCCTGTTTTGCCAAATTTTTGGCGCCGCAGGCTAAATTTTGAAGAAAAAAAAACAGGCTACAAAAAGGCGTTAGTATATTGGTGCCCAGGGGTTTGAAAGCTGAAAAGTTTTAGGGTTAGTCAGCCAAAAATAGATATCTCGAATTAGTTCAAAGGGAGGACCCTTTGGGTCGGTAGGGGGTCGAATCCCTGTAGGGGAGGGGTTGAACCCCCTCCCTTAAATCAGCCCCTGTTTGCCATGCCACTTTGTTATTCACAGCACGAGAATTAAGTCGGCCGCCACACGCGGGATGTTTGGGTTTATCCTGCTCTCTGCTGTTTCAGATCAGAGAAGGAGATAGTGGATGATTTGCCTGGAAGGATGATGCCCCTGAGTGGATGTGAACTGGGGGATGAGGCATTGCACGCGTCTTTGTTACCCCTTCAGGAAGAAATCGTCAGCTCAGTTTTAAACCCCACTGGCCAGGGCTTGGGCGGTGGGATACTGGCCAGAGCTAGGGATGGTGTCAATGCACATAAGCAGGTTAATCTAGGTTTAATTGACGCTCAATGTGGTATAAAACAAGTCATTGAAAAAGTGGCCTGTCAAATTATCGAAAGGTCAGTTTGCCAAAATTATCAAATGTATCAGATTGCCGAAATTGCGAGCATTCCTCGGCTTGATTGCTGCTCGTGTAAAATTGTCTATTGAGTCCTTCTCGCGCTAATATATGGCTCTTTTGCCGCTGAAGTCGTACGTTTGCTTACATTGAATGGAAGTTTTGTAAACTGAAAACGAACAGTTTCTTAGTGATATTAAAAAATGAGATGAGTTACTCTCAGTTATATTCCTTATCAAATAATTCAATCTAAGACGAGAATAAAAAGGAAATTATATAGCAATTTTGGCAAACTGACACTTTGGCACTAGATATTTATTGGGTTAACCCTCCCCAGTTAGTTGTTGTAAACATGTAATTCAGTTTATGATGACTACAACACTGCTCGAATATCAAGGAGAAGCCCTGAACGTTCTGACCGCTCTTGAAGGCCAATTATAAGGTGATTGGAAAAAAAAAGTTTGGCGGAAACCTTGAAAAAAATTTTCCTTTGATCCCACAGCATGCTACGTTGTGTACGAAAAAAAAGAAACAGTTAATGTCTCTGATCCGATCTACAGACACATCATACAAACGCAACACATTTACAAGTGTCATAACGTTTCACTCACGTTTACGTTTCTCTTCCTCCTTTTATCCATTGATTGAGTTTCCTTCCCACGCGTTGCAGTAGTTTTATTCATTTTAAGCTTGATAAAAGTATTAATATTATTGAACCAATTAAATTCGAGTACAAAAAAAAATCAAGATACTGCTGAAATAAAAATTAAAAAAAAATGAGAGGGGAGACATTGGAAAATGTAGAGCGACAGATATGATTAATAATAATAGATAATTTCTCCAACTAAATTACCTCGTCGTATTTGTAGATTATAATTTTGCCTAAAAACATCTTTTGAATTCTTTCAGCATCCAGGCACCAATAGCTCGCGGAACTGTAGATTCTACCTGAACAGCGCAGTCCAACATGTAGACAACTCTTGTTGCTAAAAAACATAAGTACAGCTTCAGAACATGGTGACAAGTGTTTTGAGTCCATCCGAGCAAAATTGTCAAATCAGCAATCTTGAGATTTCTCTAATTACACAAGCATAGCTTGTGTTATAGTATGAGTTATCTTTTTTCCAAACTAAAACGCAAATTTTGTTGCGGCAAAATGTGTTCATTTTAGAAGTGTTCATTTTGATCAATAACCCGCTATTAAGTACAGCCAATGCTAAGTATATTACACATACTATTATATTACAAATTCCTCTTTGATAAAAAAAAGGTAGTATGACAATGCATGGGATCAGTTTTTTCGAAGCTTTGGAAAATTTTCGTTTCTGAAAAACTACTCCACCGAATTTCGGAAAAGTGGTACTAACGGCGAGTCCCGCCACTCCCGAGTTTGCTTGTATACTCCCCTAGTCCCTTTTTATTTTATCCCTTTTTCTACAGCCTTAGAAAAAGGTCTGTGGGGGGAAGTTTTGACCTCAATTTTTGGATTTTTTTGTCTTTTCTCGAAAACTACCCACTCGAATTTGAGATTTTGGGTTCAATGGATAGAACAGGTTGTGGTCCCCTGCATAAGCGGCTACGCCGCTTTTTTTACACAAAGTGTTATGGCCCTCAAATTAGTCAATTTTTCGATTTTTTAACCATGTTTTGAAACTACCATCTCAAATCTGAGGTTTTGGTTTCAATGATTCGAATGGCTTGTGGAAAGCTCCGCTGCATAAACGATTACGCCTGTATAAAAGGTCTGTGGTGGGAAGTTTTGACCTCAATTTTTGGATGTTTTTGTCTTTTCTCGAAAACTACCCACTCGAATTTGAAATTTTGGTTTCAATGGATAGAGCAGGTTGTGGTCCCCTGCATAAGCGGCTACGCCGCTTTTTTTACACAAATTGTTATGGCCCTCAAAATAGTCAATTTTTTGATTTTTTAACCATGTTTTGAAACTACCATCTCAAATCTGAGGTTTTGGTTTCAATGATTAGAATGGTTTGTGGAAAGCTCCGCTGCATAAACGATTACGCCTATTTTTCTTTACACGAAAAAATCATAACCCTCCAAAAAATCAAGTTTCGAATCTTCGACCGTTTCCAATTTTCGATGTTTCTCGAAAACTACCCGCCCAAAACTGAGGTTTTAGTTTCAATGAGTAGAATGGATTGTCGGAAGCTCCGCTGCATAAAAAATTACGCCTAATTTTTCTAAACAAAAAGTTATGACTCTCCAAAAAGTCGAATTTTCGTTTTTTGACCGTTTTCTCAAACTTCGACTTTTTTCGAAAAGTACCTCCCAAATCTCAGATTTCAGTTTCAATTGGTAGAACGGGTTGTGGGAAGGTCTCCTGCATAAGTGTTTCTGCACCTTTTCTTTTACACAGAAAGTTATGACCCTCGGACCATGGAAAAGTTGAATTTTTGATTGTTTTTTCTCAAAAACTACCCCAATCTGAGATATCGGTTTCAATGAAGAGAGAAAGGGCCCATTGTGTATACGCTTACGTTCAATTTTTTCAACACAAAAAAAATTATGGCCTTCAGAGAAGTCAATGTTTTGATTTCTTGTCTGTTTTAAACTTTTCACCTCTCGAAAACAACTCAATCTGATATCAAAGGTTTAATCAAGGCAACAGGTTGTAAAAAGCCTTCGTCCATAAACTGCTACGCATTAATTTTCGAGCAAGAAACATGTTTCTGGGAAAATTCCAGAATTACAAATCTTTTGATCATTTTTTAATACAGCAACAACCAAGGTCCTGTGTGAAGCTCAATGAATATTTCTTAAATAACCTACTTCATCCCGCATCAGTACAACAAATTCAAAAAATATCAAATATGTACCTCCAGGTTTAGCTGTTCTCTGGTTGATTGGTTGAGTTTGATTTTGACAGGTGGACATTTTTCATTACTTAAACTTTTTCATGTTAATACTGCTCCATAGAACTTAAAAGGCTGTCGGAACATTCAGGGATTTACCCTGATGCGAGTAGTTTCGTATTACAAATAGCACTTTAGCTTCAAGATATCATGGATCTGTAGTGTAGAGGTAGGGAGGAGACCCACAAAAAAATAGGAGGGTTCGGACTTGGGCTGGGTGGGTTATTTTTAATAAACTTTCGCATACTAGCTAAAATGCGTCCTCTCTATAAAATGAGGCATATGCAATTGGTAGATTTTTTTTATCAAACTGACTGGTACTGCTAATGCGTCATAATTGGCTTGCGTCACTTAGCATTTATGTAAACTCATAATTGAAGTGCGTCTTTTGAGAAATTTTATAGACTCAAAGTTTTACTCACGAGTTTTCAGGTTTTCCCAGTTGCATTATCGGTCATTTTTTTTGCTTTTGTACGCGAAGTGCAACTTCGCCTGAGTTAAATGGTGCATATTGGTTTGTGGAGAAAAAACATGAAAAAAAAACAAACAAAAGCAGCAGGAGTACTGATTTTGGGGTCTACGAAATGCATAGATGACTGAAGAGCTATAAACAAACTCCCGGCAGCTAAGTTTTAACCTTATTTTATTTCTTCTTTAACCGTTCGGTAATTTTCTTGCAATTGGCGCTTTTAGCTGCTAATATTTTCAGAACAGTTTCTGAGCGACTTTAAAAATGAGATTGTTTGCATCGAATTACTCTCAGTTAATTGTCCTGAACACATAATTCAATCTAAGACGAGAATAAAAAGGAAATTAAATAGCAATTTTGGCAAACTTACACTTTGGCACTAGATATTTATTGGGTTAAACCTCCACAATTAGTTGTTGTAAACATTTAATTCAGCCTATTATGACTACAAACTTGCTCGAATATCAAGGAGAAGCCCTGAACGTTCTGACCGCTCTTGAAGGCTAATTATAAGGTGATTGGAAAATTAAAAAGTTTGGCGGAAACCTTGAAAAAAGTTTTCTTTGATCCCACAGCATGCTACGTTGTGCACAAAGGGATGTATTCAGCGTCTCGTTGACCAGAAAAAACGCCTAGCTGCAATCTGAACGATTTGATTCGCCGCCAACTCGTGTTAATGGAGCAAGGAGCTAAAAACAAACTGCCCGGCAGCTAAATTTTAACTTTATTTTATTTCTTCTTTATCGTTTTGGTCTTTTCCATTCAATTGGAGCTTTTAGCAGCTAATATTCCCACTAAACCTAATCTCCTTATCAAACAAATTTCCTCAAGAGTGTATTTTAAGCCTTATTCTGAATTTACAAACCTCTGTTCTCAAGGAATCATAAGACACCAGCTTAATAATTTTTACCCTGGATTACTCATATCGGAAAGATTGAAAAACCACCTTCAAATCAGGCATGGCACTGCAGCCTTTTTTGAAAATAGACTCATTTTCGGGTAATCCATTCGGGTAAATCTGAGTTTGAACACCTACTCAGAGCTTTGATGTCGGTCAAATAGCTGCAGCGCGACTAGCATCATTTTTGATATAGTTTTATCGGGTGGCGCACTTCGTTTCTACACAGGGCTTCCAGACGTAACTCGCAATGGTTTTAATGATATTCTGACAGCATTACGAGACCGTTACAATCAAACCGCAAATCAAGAATTTCACAGAATTAAACCAGCGAAAACTCAATTCATCTAGGAATCCTCAGAGGATTTCATCGTCGAGGTACAACGACAAGCTCCTCGAGCGATCCTAGATATTTCGGCTAGGGATGTAAACCCACCTGTCGATAGAGGCGATGAACGAACTCGTCGAGTAAAAGAAGCATTCATTCAAGGAATGCCAATGGAATACAAAGAAAATGCTGAAAGAAGCGCCCGAACGAACAGTTGATGATTTGGGTAGAATAATCCCGAGAGAGTTGTAGATTTTGAATACATATCCGGATGAATAGTTTTTTTGGAGAATTTCGGCAACTGGATATTGACTCCGACGGTAAAACTTCCGTCAAGATGAAGAAAAATTCTCAATTGC